GGGTTGGTCAATTACGCTTTTGACTTTTGGAAAGCTTATTTCGAGTTTGTGGGAGCCTTGGCATATTATTTAGGAATTAAACAGGACTGTGCATCTCTTCTAATGATGGGTGTTACCGAAGGGAACCCATTTTGTTACGGGTCCCCTCTGGATGCGTCAGAGGGGCCAGAGATAAGAGGAGATCCCTAAACTCAAAATATCCAGACTTGGGGGGGTCCAAGGGAAGAAGTGAACATTAAGCAATTCTGTATGTGCTGGGTGCCTGACATGCATGCTTGATCCTTGGAACATCCAGCTAGCATTTTTAGGCCCATTTTACAGGTGAGGAAACTGACTTTTGAGAGGTATACAAATAGGCCAGGCGCAGTGGCTCACACCTATAAATCCCAGCACTTTGGGAGGCCAAGGTGGGGGGACGATGTGAGAGGTCAGGAGTTCCAGACCAGCCTGGGCAACATGTGAAACCCCATCTCTACTAAAAATACAAAAATTAGCCAGGCATGGTGGTACATACCAGTTATCCCAGCTACTTGGGAGGCCAAGGCAAGAGAATCTCTTGAACCTGGAAAGTGGAGGTTGCAGTGAGCCAAGATCATGCCACTGCACTCCAGCCGGATGACAGTGCAAGACTGTCTAAAAAAAAAAAAAAAGAGGTATGAAATAAAGTGACCTACCCAAGGCCCCCAAACTGGGTTAGGGGGAAATTTCCATCTCACCTATCTAAAATATTATCTCCTCATCAGATTGTTTTCTTTCTCTATTCCTTCCCACAAAATTTTGTCTCCTTCCTTTTCCAGAAATATCTATGTTCTGTTCTGAAACAATTTTGAACAGGGAGATCTATCAGCCTTTAAGCAGCTAAGCCTCCGGAACTGTGCCTCTGGATTCAGATGATACAAATGTGGCAGACTTCACTGTACACTTAAAAATGGTAAAGATGGGCCAGGTGCAGTGGCTCACATCTGTAATCCCAGCACTTTGGGAGGCCGAGGTGGGCAGATGATGAGGTCAGGAGTTCAAGACCAGACTGGACAACATGGAGAAACCCTGTCTCTACTAAAAAATACAAAAATTAGCTGGGCATGGTGGCTCGTGCCTGTAATCCCAGCTACTTGGGAGGCTGAGGTAGGAGAATTGCTTGAACTGGGACCCAGGAGGTGGAGGTTGCAGTGAGCCAAGATCGCATCACCACATTCCAGCCTGGGCTACAGAGCGAGACTCCATCTCAAAAAAAAAAAAAAAAGGTAAAGATGGTACTTCCTGTATGTGTATTGTACCTGACTTTAAAAATTCATTGGAACTACCCCATGATATTCTTTTTAAAAACTAATTTTTTTAAATTAAAGTTTATTAGACATACAGATTGTAAATGTTAAGATTTTGTTTTGTTTTGTTTTGAGATGGAGTTTTCCTCTTGTTGCCCAGGCTGGAGTGTAATGGTGCAATCTCAGCTCACCACAACCTCCGCCTCCCGGGTTCAAGCGATTCTCTTGCCCCATCCTCCCAAGTTGCTGGAATTACAGGCATGCACCACCACACCTAGCTAATTTTGTATTTTTAGTAGAGACGGGGTTTCTCCATGTTGGTCAGGCTGGTCTTGAACTCCCAGCCTCAGGTGCTCCACCCGCCTTGGCCTCCCAAAGTGCTGTGATTACGGCATGAGTCACCAAATGTTAAGGTTTAATGACTTAATATGTTGAACATACTTGATAACTACTGCCCAGATCAAGAAATAGAAACCTAGCGGGCCAATATCCAGAATCTACAAAGAACTAAAACAGATTTACAAGAAAAAAACAAATAAGCCTATTCAAAAGTGGGTGAAGGATATGAACAGACACTTCACAAAAGAAGACATACATGAGGCCAACAAACATTTAAAAAAATGCTCATCATCACTGGTCATTAGAGAAATGCTAATCAAAACTACATTGAGATACCATCTCACGCCAGTTCGAATGGCGATCATTAAAAAAATCTGGAGACAACAGATGCTGGAGAGGATGTGGAGAAATAGGAACACTTTTACACTGTTGGTGGGAGTGTAAATTAGTTCAACCATTGTGGAAGACAGTGTGGTGATTCCTCAAGAACCTAGAAATAGAAATTCCATTTGACCCAGCAATCCCAGTACTGAGTATATATCCAAAGGATTATAAATCGTTCTACTATAAGGACACATGCACATGAATGTTCATTGCAGCACTGTTTACAATAGCAAAGACCTGGAACCAACCCAAATGCCCATCGATGATAGACTGGACAGGGAAAGTGTGGCACATATTCACCATGGAATATTATGCAGCCATAAAAAATGATGAGTTCGTGTCCTTTGTAGGGACATGGATATACCTGGAAACCATCATTCTCAGCAAACTGACACAAGAACAGAAAGTCAAACACCACATGTTCTCACTCATAGGTGGGTGTTAAACAATGAGAACACATGGACACAGGGAGGGGAGCACTACACACTTGGGTCTGTTGGGGGGAAATAGGGGAGGGACAGTGGGGGTTGGAGAGTTGGGGAGAGATAGCATGGGGAGAAATGCCAGATATAGGTGATGGGGAAGAAGTCAGCAAATCACACTGCCATGTGTGTACCTATGCAACAATCTTGTATGTTCTTCACATGTACCCCAAAACCTAAAATGCAATTAAAAAAAAAGAAATAGAAACCTAGCTATGTTCATTCTTAAGGTTCATTTTGTTTATTTTCACTAATGTGAACCTCTGGCTAGAAGTGTGTTATAACTGTACATCCCAAATCCAGATCTTTGTTGAGTAAAATTTTTTTAAAAGTATTTTACAACTGACATACCATAACATTTGTCCCATCTGAACCCTGTCTTGGCAGTATTTGAAGGGCCCTGAAATGCTGGGCATTTATGGGTCAACAGTGAACATGTTAGTCATTGATCAGCCTGTACAAATGGCCTGAGATGTCAGAGGGGGTGGGATACCCACAAAAAGGGGTCAAATTGATTCCTGAGAGAGGTTAAGAACAGAAAAGTCATGGAACTTCACAGCTCATCTCATAAGTGAAGCTTGGGGAGGTTGAAGGGTTTGCCCACAATCTCACAGCCAGGAAGCGGGACCAGCAAGTGGCTTCTCCTACACAGGCAGCGAGAGAGATACGCGCTATCTGAGACATCCCATTGAAATGGTTCATGACCAGGAAGGAAGCCATTGGTGAGAGGGCCTGGTTGGGGCCAGTGAGGTCACCTCCCAGGGTCACCATTTAGGGACACTGCCCACTGGCTGTCAGGCTGTGGACCCCACATCCCAGATGCCCTTTGTCCCCCATCTGCTCTCTGCTCTTGAATGGGCTGCCGAGGAAAAGACACTGCTGTTCGCCCATCATGGTTTGTTGGGAAAGCTCCTGGGTGAAACCAAAACCTGTCTGTGCCAGAACATGTTGTGAGCGAGCATCCCCTGCCAGTGTGGCCTGCATTCTACTCAGACTGCAGTCTGAGGTCCTAAGCCATCTCTGCCACCCACCAGCCTCCGTACCTCTGGCAGGTCCTGACCGTAACAACCTCCCAGGGTTGTCACGGTTTTCGGCTCTCTCATACCTGGGGGAAACGTGGTGAACTGCAAAGCGCTTCTTGATAACAATGTTTATGGAGCAGTCCCTGTGCGCCAGGCTCAGTGCTAAGTGCTGCATGCACATCTCAGTTCTTTCCTCGGTAGCTCGTGGGAACGGGGCTTCTGTTATCCCCATTTTACAGATAAAGGGCCTGAGGCTCGAAGCACAGTAAGTGCTCAGGGTTACACAGCCATTTCCATGATGGGGCCGTATTCAAACCAGGGCAGAGTGTGTCCAAGTGACTCAGCCCAGCTGCCACTTAACGACCACTCAGTCATCCATCCAGTCCTTATTTGCTGACTACCTACTGTGTGTCAGGCACTGTTGTCAGTACTGGAGAGACAGCCAGGGAGCAAAGCCACATCCTCCTGTTGCTGACATCCTTGAGTTGGGGTCCTTTATGAAGAATTCTCTTGGAGATGTGTTTTTTGGGCACTTTTAGAGAAAAGCCTGCCTCCTTTCCCCGGAAATCTCTGTACAGTTTGCTCTCGATCTTCAAAGCTCCATAACGTCCCCACAGACTCCCCTTAAGGAGCTGGCAGTTGAGAGCCTGGTGGGTCTGCTTCCCACTTTGGGCTCAGAGCAGCTCCCCCGAAGTCTGTTCCCTTCCAGGCCCTGGCCTTGCCCCTGGCCTCTCCCCCAGCCTCCTGCCCTGCTAGAGGGGAAGGCAGGCGTCAGCCCCGCAGCTGTGTGCTGTTGAAGGACCCGCCTTGCTCCTGGTACACCTTGTGGGGCCAGCTGACAGCACTCATACCAGCCTGATAAGAGGCTCGGGCCCATGGCCGACCCGTTCACGCGGCCCTGCCACTTCCACGTGGCCTCGTGCCTGTTATTCTGTTCATCTCCACACACAAAGAGCCCGGGTGCCATTGCTGGCGCTCAGCTGCTGGAGTGGGGAGGGCAAGCAGCCGAGAAAAGCTTTTCAGAAAGGCCAGGGCGGAGGCAGGAGTCACCCAGGTGATCGGAGCTGCTCCCCCAGGACCCCAGCCCAGGCCCACAGTGAAAGGTTATTGCTAATTGGCGAGCTCCTGATGGGGCCGCATCTACTTAGCACTCCCCCTCCCCAGAGACTTCCAGGATGGTCTTGGCACAGCGTGTGATTCAAGAGCTCCCCGCCCGAGTCTGGCACAATCTGTCTGAAATTGTGAACATGGAGCCTCTTGGTTTTTTAATTTGTATTTTCGTTGTCGCCATTCTCTGCCCATTGTTGCTGGTAGATTTCGTAGCTGCAGCCACCCTGACTCTGGCATCCCCCTCCAGGGAGCCCCCTCGGTAGGCTCCCTCCCTCCCCCAACCCCAAGACCCACTGTCAGAGCCATTGCCCGTCCTGACCCGTTGCCCCGGCCTCAGGGCCCAGTTCTCACCCCGCCATCATCCCTGACACTAACACAGCTTGTCCACCCTGTCGCAGGGGGCAGATGGCCTGTCGGAGCCGGAGGGCATCTCTCTGAAGCGGGTCGCTGTGGTGGAAGATTTCTTTGACATCATCTACTCGATGCATGTGGAGAGCTCAGCGGAGCCAGGCAAAGCCCCCAAGCACGCTGGGCAGAAGAAAACCTACCGAGCGGTGAGATTTCTGTCTCTTTGCCTCCACTGGCAGCCCCAGGCCTTGGCAGGAGGCCACGGGCTTCGCACATGTTGGGCTGGGGGGGCGGGGCAGGGAGCTGAGGCGTAATGAAACGGCCTTTGGGGATCTAGGGGGGCACAGGGCAAGGGCACAGCAGCCAGAGATGGCTCACAGGATGAGGGGAGGGGATCTGTGGTCTGAGCACAAAGGAAAAGCAGGTTGAAGGGGGTGAGAGGGAGGGAAGGAGAGGGATGAGGGCAGGAGGCGCCCTCCTCTTCCCCACTTCTGCTTTACTCACTCCCACCCGACACCACCTCCAACCCCAGGCCCGTACAGCCTGTGCTGGGGCTGGGGTGGTGGGGGCAGATAATGATCAGAGGAGCAAATCCCTCCATGGTTTGCATTTACCGGTGCCAGGCCTGTCCTGAGCTCTTCCTATGTGTGAGCTCATCCTGTGAAGTCAGGACTGGGAGTTCCCCAGGGGAAGTCAAAGGACCTGCTCCCCACCCTCCAGGAGGTCACAATTGGATTTGGGGTAGGGATGCTGAGAGCAAAAACAAGATACAGGAGAGGCAGAAATATCTCCAAGGCTCTCTTTGAGAGAGCAAGAACCCAGGCACAGGGGCATTTAGCAAAGGCACCGCCCAACACAGATGAGCCTGGGGGGCTGCGTAGAGAAAGTGACACCTGTGTTGGCATTCTAAGCTTTGGGGAGGCATAAGGGCAGAGAGGGCAACGTAGGGACAGGGAGTGTCACAAATGCAGGGGAGGTGGAAATAGATGGGACTGGCCAAACCCAAGGCCCCTCCAAACCCTGCAGAGAGGCCTGTCCGTGTCCTGATCCGTCCCCTGCTGACCCACATGTGAGTCCACGGCTCATGCATTTCTTGGAACCATTTTTCCAGTGCCCAGGAGGCCAGTAAAGCCACGCACTTCATGCTCAGTCAAGCCTTGCAGCAGTCCTGTGACCCAGGCACTGAGGTCCCATTTCACAATTAAGGAAACTGAGACCCTGTACAAGGTCACCTGTCCAAGGTCAGACGGCAGCTGAGTTGCAGTGGGCTGGTGTCCTTGTGCCCCCTCCATGCTGACTCTCTGGAGCTTCTAGAGATGTGCCCTCTGTGACTGGGCTTCCCCACCCAAGGCAGATGTGAAACTCCCTACCCCAAGTTCTTTGTATAAATAGCTTTGGACTACCCTGGAGGTGGCTGTATAAGTCTATACTTTCCCCTTATGGCCTTTTTTTTTTTTAATGCAACCATCTGGTTTGTCCTTGTCCTCAGAAAATGGGTTTTGCCCTAAATGGATTTTAAGGAGGGACCCTTAAAATGTGCCAAGGGCCTCGGAGAGGCGAGGTGTCTGCCCAGGGAAGCAGGAGATGATGATGCCATCTCCCTGCCCCTGCTTCTCGGTCTGTGTGCTTTGGGAAGTGACTTGTGGGAAGGGAGTTCTGAGGGGATTTCCACCAGAGGGTCATAGAAGAAGGAAGAGGCACGCAGGCTGGGGCCAACGTGGGCCCCTTGGCACTGACAAGACCCACCACATTTTCTCAGCATTAAACTAATTTACCATTGTGGGTGAGGCACGGTGGTTCACACCTGTAATCCCAGCACTTTGGGAGGTTGAGGTGGGAGGATTGCTTGAGCAGCCTCAAGAAGTTCAAGACCAACCTGGGCAACATAGCAAGACCCCTTCTCTTAAAAAAAAAAAAAAAAATGGCCCTGGGCTCAGTGGCTCACACCTGTGAATCCCAACATTTTGGGAGGCCAAGGTAGGCAGATCGCTTGAAGCCAGGAGTGTGAGACCAGCTTGGCCAACTTGGCAAAACCCCACCCCTACTAAAAATACAAAAATTAGCCGGGCGTGATGGTGCACACCTTTAGTCCCAACTATTCAGGAGGCTGAGGCATGAGAATCACTTGAGTCCGGGAGGTAGAGGTTGCAGTGAGCTGAGATCACACCACTGCACTCCAGCCAGGGTAACAACTGTTGTCTCCAAAAATAAAAATAAAAAAGTAAATTAAAAAATCCAGGCCCAGTACTGTGTGCCTGTAGTCCTAGCTACTTGGGAGGCTGAAGCAGGAGGATTGCTTGAGTCCAAAAATTTGAGGCTGCAGTGAGCTGTAATCGTACCACTGCACTCCACCCTGAGTGACAGCAAGACCCTGTCTCAAAAAAAAAAATTCACCGTTGTGCTGAGTAGTCAGCAATGTGCTACACCAGCACTTCCAGCCCTCTGTGGCTATACATGTATGAAGGTTGTATGCATGAAGCAGGTGCTGTTGCTACCACCATTTAAAGATGAGAAAACTGAGTCTCACAGAGACATGTAACCTGCCTGAGGTTGATCAGCTGACATCCACCGCCAGGCCACCCACCCCAGAGCCTGTGCTCTGACCACCACCCATCCTGCCTCTCTGCAACCCTCCTGTGGTCAGCTAGAAAGCCCTACGACTTGCTGTTGTTCAGGCGGATGGGCTGAAGCCAGCTGGATCATGTGATTGCCCTGGCCCCTTCGGTGCCCAGCATCAAGGCTTGCCCACAGGCACTCTTTGGGCATTGAGGAAGGCAGGGGTCTGCGGCCTTCATGCTGTGGGGAGGGCAGGGTTGGGCTGGTCCTGCCAGCACTTGCATCCCTGGGCCAAGCGGACATCCAGCCCTTTGCTCTGCACTTCCTGGCTTCTCGTCCATATGCCTGCCGCGTGCCCCACTTCCCGCTGCCCAGCCTGGAGCTGGCACATGACTGGCACTGAGCCAGCTGGGCTGTGCACAGAGCTGGAATTTCAGCAGCAGGGCCAAGGCTGAGCTGAGCAGGCCAAGGCTCTCCTGCAGTGGGTGTGAGGTCGAGGGGGCTGGCGCATCTCCCTCCTCCCTCACGTGCCTCCTCTCCTTTTCCCCTTCTCCTCCCCATCTGTCACCCTTCTCATCCCACCCTTTTCCTTTTTTGGGGGCAAGGGGTGGTCCTGGATGCCTTTGTGCCCCCTCTTCATCTGCTCCTATTTTACTTGACCCAAGCCTCGCTCTTCAGCCCCACTCTGTAGACACGAGGCTACCACCCACCCATGCCTGTGGAAACAGTCCCCAAGGAAGGCCCCACTGATGGCTGCAGAGGATCACAGCCTGGTATCCCAGGCTGTGTATCAAGCCCCTGGCTGAGGACTCTTTGGATCTATCTCTGTGTTTTGCCAAAGCTGAATCCTAGGGCTGCCTGACGGTTTCTAGGGCGCAGGGCCCCTCTGGATTTTTCCAGTCCTGGTGTGCCGTAGAAGTCAGAGGACTGGCAGGGAGGTGGCAGACTTGTTCAGTGCACTAAAGGAGGCACGTTATTTGGTGGGGAAAAGAGCTTTCTGGCATCTACTGCTGTCCAGCCGTGGCTCAGATAGGGCAGGCAATGAGCTTTTGAAACTGGAGGTATTTGAGCTGGAGTTAGATGGATAATGCAGGGATTCCCATTTTAAGCAGGAAGTCCCTGTCTCAGCTTTTCAGGGTGACCTGAGGTCCAGAGGATCTCAGAGGTCTCACCAGCACCAGGGTTTGTGGAAGGTTCCAGCTGGTTCTACAGAGTTTCCTGAACTTACACAGAGGGCCAGTCCTTTTTCCAAGGGGCCTTCCTGCTTTTCTGATTTCTGCACCCATCTGGGTTGGAGCAGGCCTCTTTGCTTCCTTCTCCCTCCCAGGGTGCTGGTAGGTCAGGCCGGGTTCCAGAGTCCAGATCTAGCTGCCCAGGCCACTTTGGAGTTGGGGCCAGATGTGGTCAGCAGCTGCTCTGGGCCCACCACATGCTAATCCACCCGCAAGGCAGAAGGAGGATCTTGTAAAGTGGTGCAAATCCCCCCAATTGGCCTCATCTGTCTTTGTCGGCCTCCGAGTTGGGGAGTGAAATGGGGCCTTGCAAGTCAGCGACTCTGCAAATAGCTCTGGCTCTCTCTGCCAGTGAAGTCTCTGGTTTTTACCACCAGGAAAAATGTAAAAGGCAAATTCACGCACTGAACTCAATGTCCAGGTAGGAGGCCCCAAGAGCAAGGCAGCAGGCAGCCCAGGGTGGTGGAGAGCCGCTGGGCAGGGACAAGGGTCTTGGAACTTCCCCTCCTTAGACACAGCAGCTCTGTCTTTATCTGTTTCATGTTTTGGGCTTCAGTGTATGCGTCTATTTCTAGAACAGGGTCTGCAGCTCTAAAACCATCTGAAAACCACCATCCTATTAACTAGAGCATCTGCGAGGACTGTCCTCCTGGTTTCGACTCATCCTGTGGTCCTGTGGCCTTGGGCATCCATGCACTCAATCAGAAACGGAGGTCCCATTTCTGGTCCCAGGCAAGCCAGTAAGATGAATCAGAAGACGCCTGCTGAAGGTTGCGGTGGGGAGGGTGTGTCATCCTCTGTACGGGTCCCTCCAGCAGTGCAGAGCTGGGTTGGACTCTGCACTTTACTGACTCCCCAGGCAGCTCCGAGCCAGGCTTGCAGACAGTCCAGCCTTGCAGGGCAGGGCTTCCCTCCCCGGTCTCAGGCAGCTCCAAGGACTTCTCACCTGTCGACTTTGCATCCTCCCCTTCCACCCGTCTGTGGGACCCAGGGCCAGAAGGTGTGTGCTCAGCACCCCTCCTCCCCGTGGCATGCCAGCCAGCCTTCACACACTGCTGGGGTCCCTGCCAAGGCCAGCAGAAATGTGGCTACCACTCTACCCCTGGAGAGGGAGCCATTCTTGTGCCCTCAGCAGGCCAGGCAGCAAGAAGGGCCCTGCCCATCATGTGTGCAGCCCTCAGCAGAGCAGCCAGGCCAGGAGGACCCCCTGAGCCCTTTAAAAAAATATTTCTCTGCCCATTGGCAGGGGAGCAGGCAAGCCCTGGGTAGCTCAGGAGGTCTGCTCTCATGGTAGGGACCTGGCCCTCCTCTCCCAGGTGACTGTGCAGCCCTCCCCCAGGTCCTACACTGCGCTCTCCTGACCTAGGGTGCCAGGTCTCAGGGGAGCCAAGGGGCATCTATTGGCCCAGGTCAGCCGCAGCCCTCCGCTCTAGCACATGCCTTTCCCTCCTGCAGCTGCCACCCTTCAGCCAGGCCTCTCCCTTCAGACCCAGCAGGCCTAAAGGAAACGTGCCCCCAGACTTCCAGGCAGCCCTGGACTGGGGATGAAGCGCTCCGTGAGCAGGGCAGGAAAGCCCCATCCCTCGGCCCTGACACCTGACCGGGACCAGCTGCATCCCTGCTGTTGCTCTCCTATCCGCTGCTCCAGTCAGAGGCACTGGGGTTTGCCCTTGTTCCTGACCTCCAGAGGAAGGCAATCAGACAGGGAATTTGGAAGGGAGATAACTCATCAAGGAGCCTGCCTGCTCCGCAGAGCATCAAATCAGCTGAGAAATAACAACTGTGTCACCAAAATTAACTTTGCATTTGCAGCCAAGAGTGGCCCCTGGACTCTTGCTGGTGGGCTGAGCTGGAAGCCGTGCCTGAGCTGGTCCTCCAAGGGCCTGGCCATAGCCGAGGGGCACCCCGGGCCTTCTGCATCCCCCAACTCCACTCCCCAGCCCCACCCTAGCCCACCTCTACCCTCCAGCCATCGCAGAGATGGAGAAGGACATTCGTGCATTTCCAAAGGAGCAAACCCATACAGTTGCTGAGGGAAGGCGGGGCCCAGTGCCGCCCCTCACCCTTGGCCAACTTTCCTAGCCAGGCTGCGGGCTGCAGCGAGGACGGTGGAACGCTTGGGTGATGCTGCCCCTTAGTGGAGAGGAGTGGGAGGACCCAGGCTCCAGGAAGCACGTGGAAAACCAGCCACTGGGCAGCCTTGGTCCAGGGAACCTGGGACTAAAGGGACTCTTTGGCTCCCAGCAGACAGCTAAAGCAGGGTCAGCGGCTTTTCCAAAACGCAGAGCAAGAGGAAAGGGTGGGACACCTGGGCCCACAGCCACGTCTTGCCCATTCTCCCACCCAGCCTTTTTTTTATGTTCCCTTCCTTCTGTGTGCCTCTCCCAGCCCCCTGCATCCCTGTCCTCTTCCTCAGCTAGGGAGGCCCTCTGAAGGCAACTATGGAGTGATGTGACCTGGAGCTTGGGGTTTAGCCTGGCACTGCCCCGAAAGTGCTGTGTGACCTTGGGGAGTTGGCTCACTTCTCTGACCATAGTTGCTTGGAACGTGGGCACCCGCAGAGCCTGTCCAGTTTGAAAAGCCTGATGCCCGGTTCTAGCGCTTCACAGCAATCCCTGAGAAGGTTGTTAACCTGTGAGAGGTCACAGGAGATGGCTCCTAGGACCCTTGGTTCTGTGCATAAGCCCAGAGCAGTGAATGTATCCGTGGGTCTCAGTCTATCCATCTCTAAGAGGGGAACTGCTCACCCTATGCTATAGCAGTGTTTATAAGCCCAGTTTTTTTTCACAGCAGCAAATACAATGTTCTGAGGAATGTTACTTATTAGAATATAGGTTAAAGACTAGATAATGTTTAAAGGCTTTGCTTTTTCAATTTCTAGCCTCCTTTATTGAGATTTTTTAAACAAATGGTTTCCCACAAAAGTACTGTCTCATTTCCACCGCTGAGAATCCAGGACACCTGCCCCTTGCTCCTCAAATCTCTGACTTTCCTTGCAAGAGCCAAAGCACCTGCCACCAAAGCTCAGACCTTGGTGACCCCATGGCCAAGTCACCTCCCGATGGATCCGTATAACAAGCGAAGCTCTTCTCTCCTCCAGATCGCAGAGACCTATGCCTTCCTCCCGAGAGAGGCCGTGACCCGGTTCCTGATGAGCTGCACGGAGTGTCAGAAGAGGATGCACTTTAACTCCAACGGCCTGGAACCCAAAGGTAGTGGGGGTGGCGTGCTAGAGGGCTAGGGCAGGGGCCAGCCGAGAGCAGACTGTCCCTGAAGACGTCAGCTTTTGCTGGCACAGAGAAGTGGCCAGCAGCTGTTGTTGCTGGTCCCAGAGGCCAGTCTGGGTCCATGGTGCTGCCCAAAGAGCCTCATTTTGTTTTAACTTTTTTCCTCTCCATTTTCGCTTAAAAACCAACCATACAGGCTGGGTACAGTGGCTCATGCCTGTAATCCTAGCACTTTGGGAGGCTGAGGCGGGCAGATCACGAAGTCAGGAGAGGGAGACCATCCTGGCTAACAGAGTGAAACCCCATCTCCATTAAAAATACAAAAAAATTAGCTGGGTTTGGTGGCACATACCTGTAGTCCCAGCTACTCGGGAGGCTGAGGCCAGAGAATCGATTGAATTTGGGAGGTGGAGGTTGCAGTGAACCGAGATCATGCCACTGCACTCCAGCCTGGGTGACAGAATGAGAACAATGTCTCAAAAAAAAAAAAAAAAAACCAACCATATAAAACAAAAAACTCAATACATTTCTCCTGCCTCACAAGGCCCAGGCCGGCCCCTCTCCTCCCACCCAGGCTCCAGTGGGAATGGCCAGCCCGCCCCGTTCTCCAAGCTCCATCCATGCCTCCCCGTTTCTCTGCGTATGAGCCGAGGTCTGGCCGGTATGCTCTCTGAGACATGCGCATCCTCCCTCCTCATAGCCCACAGACCTGCCAGGGAGACGTCCTCCCTGGTGCTTGTTTCCACCCTTTGCACACCTGTGTGGCCTCTGATCAGTAAACCCACAGGGACCGATGAGAATTTAAAATGCCCAGAGCAGGCCGGGCACAGTGGTTCATGCCTGTCATCTCAGCACTTTGGGAGGCTGAGGTGGAAGGATCGCTTGGGCTTGGGAGGTGGAAGCTGCAGTGAGCCATGATCATGCCACTGCACTCCAGCCTGGGTGACAGAGCAAGACCCTGTCTCAAAAAAAAAAAAGGAGCACTTGTGACCACCAAAGTTGATCCCTTGGACTGACATCCATGCCCTCCAGCTCTGTCCTGCCCAGTGAGAGACAGAGGCCCCACTTCAGCAATCTCATACCCCCTCAAACTGAACATCCCAGAGGCCTCCAGTAAATCTGGGGCCCATCTGTTTGCAGGTGGCTTTGGCACAGTGAGATGGCCCAGCACATTTGGCTGGTACAATTAGAACGCTGCCCCAAAAAACGGTGCCCAGGTGGGTGATTTATCAGGGTTTCCAGGCCTGCCTGGTGCCTCGTGCCAGCTCCCAGGCATCGGGCCTGGGGAAGTTGCTGAAGTCAGTGGGTGTTTTGCCCGAGGATGGAAACAGACTCAAATGAAGGGCGAGCCGTTTATCTGGGCGGCACTGAAGTAGTGTCCACTGAATCTGGGAAAGGAAAAGTCCACAGCAAAGCAGACAACAAAGGATCGGGAGCATGGGCGTCAAGCGGGGCTTTCTGCTCGTGTTTGTTGTCCCTGACACACGTGAGCGACTTCTGGCAGCAGCTGACTCACCAAATCCAGAGGCTTCCATGCCCCTGGGAGCCGTCAGGCCACAGCTGTTTCATCGGGCACATGGGCCAGCTTCAAAGCACGAGGGGCAGGAAGGGACCTAGTTAATCCCTCATAAATGCTGGCTCCTGTGTTGAGAACAGGGTGCCAGGGCCGAGCTACCACTCAGCTGCTGTGTGTCCTGGGCAAGAGACTTAATCTTTCTGAGCCTCAGTTCCCTCATCTGTGAAGTGGGGTTAATCAGAGGGCTGACGAGATGTGAGTTGGTCCTGTACCTGGCATTGGTGCAGGGAGAGCTAGCTGTGGCTTTGTGGTCCCTGGGATGACATTGGATGCTCCTGTGATGTATGCCTGAGCCAGTGATCCTGAATGCTGCTGCCCATGTGGCCTGGCCCTGGCTGGGCAGCTGCTACAACCCCTGGGCCAAGACCACATTTGGTACCTGCAGATGGGCTGGAGGGCTTTCCCTGCCGTACTCTCCACCCTGCCGGGGTCTAGGCCACAGGGGCCAGGGGCATGTGCTGTAGTAGTGGTGGCTGCCTGGTTCCTGCCCACCCATCCGCCTGTCCCCTCCTGTTCCTGTCCTCATGGTTTCCATAGCAACTGGCGGAGTCAGACACAGAATTGCTTGCCTGGAGAAACAGAGGCGAAGCCAAGAGGGGCTCTGTTGGTGGGCTGCTCTGGGGTGTCTGAGGCACCACCCGCTCCCCTCCCCTGCTGCGCACCCCACGGCAGTGCGGAGGGTGTTCCTCAGCCCCCACTGCACTCCTCACTGATGGCTGCTGGTCTCCCTAGGCTGCAGGCTCCACTTCTCATCTTCAGGCTTCTGTGTGGCCAGGAGGGCAACGCAGGGCAAGCAGTGGCCTGCTTCCTCTCCTCACTGGCTGCCACCACCACGCCCCACCCCCAGGGAGGAGAAAGAGGTTGGGGAGGGAAGGAGCACACAGGCCAGGAGCTGGGTAGAATATAAACCAGTGCTGTGGGCTCTGTGCTGCGCCCCCTCTTTCCTGGGGCTTGCTTCAGGCTGGACAGAAGGCGAGCACCATGCCCATCCTCGCCCATCCTCAGGCTCAACACCATCTCTCTGTCCCAGGTAGCAGAGCTTCCTCTCTCAGGGAGAGGAGAAGACGCTGAGGGAGCAGGAACCCGTGGAAGTGGCCTGGGGAAGGGCCCAGGCTTGGAGTCAGGCAAGCCTGCGGTGCAGTCCTGTTCCCTGCTGCGTGTCCCTTGGCAGGTCAGGGAACCTCTCTGAGCAGCTCCTCCTCATGACGGCTACGAGGATCCTGTGAGGTGTTAGGCCTGGCTTACAGCTGAGGAAACTGAGGCATAGACAGATGGGGAGGTGAAATCATTCATCCAAGCTCTCCCAGTAGATAGAAGTGAAGGAGGAAACCATATTTTCTCATCAGCAAAGTAGAAGGAATGTCGTCCTTTCAGGGTGGTGAGGATGAGCCTGTTGGGGGGGGTACCTGGGACGCCAAGGCTGACTGGGGAGCATCAGCCTGCTTCCTGCCCATGTTGTGGCACCACGGTGCCCAAACACGAGGCTGCCAACGTCCAGGTGGCAGAGACACATGGCCTGCTCCAGCCAGGTGGGGTCAGATGTGGCCCCCAGCCCCTTCAGGCAAGCCTGCTGGGTCCACACCCTGGACAGGGTGAGAAGGGAAGGGTCTGGTTTCTGGAAGCTGCCAGTGGAGAGCTTTAGAGTCTGAAAGGCTCCACTGTCTACTAAGTGGCCAGAGGCACTCGCCTCCTGGACCGTCCCCAAGTTCCCTCCTCCTGCCCCTGCTGAAAACCTGCAGATCCTATCTCTGCCCGCCATGCTGGCCTCTGGATGCAGCTATATCCTGCTGTCTCCCAGGCACCCCTGCATTGCCAGCCCTCCCTTCTCCCCCTCCAGCTGCTGGGAAACCAGAGCCTGCGCTAGCCCCAGAGGCAGGCCCAGTGTTCCTGCCCCAGGAAGGTGGGAGGGAGCGGGGACAGGGGACAGGATGGAGGCTCCTTGAGGGCTGCTGGGAGAATGCCTGGCTTCCTGGCCTCATGTTAAAAAGAAAGAAAGGAAGCAGAGCGGCCTCCTTTGCTCAGCGGTTTCTCCCCAGCAGAGTTGGGGGGGCCCAGACAGCCCCATGCCCTCCCCCAGTGCCAGGAGCATAAACAAAGGAGGCAGTAGAGGTTCAGGAAGTCTGAGGACGGGAAATTCCAGGGCCTCCCGACTCCACGCTCCTCTTCCACTGGCCCCTGAGGAGTTGAAGGCAGAGTATGCAAACTGGGTGTGACCTCAGACCAGCCAGCTCTTGGGAAAGGGACCTTTGGAGCCCTGTCTCTGTTTTCTTTGATGTGACAAAATATTGTTGCATGGTTGCAGACTGGGAGTTGCCGGTGGGCAGCAGTGCTGACTCTTCCTCCGCAGGCAGGCTGTCTGCTCGGGTCTCCGCCCCTTCGCAAGCAGGCCCAGACTCCTCTGCATGGTTTCCAAGGTCTCCACACCCGGCCCCTCCCGGCTCTCACACTCACTTGCTGTGGGACTGTGGGAAGCTTGCACAGCTTCTCTGTGTGCCATTGCCTCATCTGTGAAGTCAGGGTATTACTACAAGCACCCACCTCACAGGGTTCCTGGGAGCGTCCAGCGAGAGGGCGTGTGGGGAGCCCTAAGCAGGTGCTCAGTGGCTGTCAGCTGAGCAAGAGATGGTGAGTCCCATTCAGATCCTCTCCACGAAGCTTCCTCGAGCTCCTCCGGTGCCCTCTGAGCTCTTCCTCCAGTGACCCTAATGGACTCAGGTCCGTCCCCCCGGCTCATCCTTCACCCTTGTTTCCTGAGCCTGGGGACAGCACCACACACAGGTTCCCGAGCCCGGGGACAGTACCACACACAGGTTCCTGAGCCCGGGGACAGCACCACACACAGGTTCCTCACCTTCCTCACCCCGAATGCACAGCCATCAGCACTCCTTGAAGACTTACCTCCCCAGGAAGGGGATTATTTTTTTGCCATCTTTTGAGCTGGCCTCAGGCGTGGGATCTCTGTTTCCACATGTGAAGCCCCTGAGGCTGGCTGGTCTCCGGCCTCTCTGTGCCAGGCCCCCATCGTGCCCACATCCTTCGCCGCCCACCCCACCTGGAAGACCTTTCATACCCGTGTCTCTGGACTGAGAGTTCTTTGCGCTGTAGGTGAAAGTGCCTGAGAATCGCCACCTGGTGTTCCCCTGGGGAAACGAGGTCGCTCCTGTGGTTGAAGTTTGCATTCGTTGATGAGTGCCATTGGTGCCCAGCTGCACAGGCCAGCGTCCAGCTCGGCCTGGCCCAAGCACCCACATCATTGATTATTCTCAAGACTGCATAAAACTACGTCTGGCGCCTGGGCCGGCTTCCATTTTCCTTGGCAAAGAGATTTTGAAACATCTCCCTGGGCGCGTCCGTGCTTCTCTTGCCAGCAGCCTGCCAGGGGATTTAGGTTCTGTGACCCTTGCTAGCTCCTAGCTCACCCTTCTCCATGGCGACAGTGCCCAGCGGTGCTGTACTGTCAGGTTATTTGTAGAGGCTCGAGTGTGGCACCCTGTGTTGACCATGGGGCAGGGAGGGGGCAGCCTGTCTCAGCAGAGCCCAAGGAACCTGCTTCTTCCTTGTTCGCATTTCCACCTGAGCTCGTCCCAGTCCTGGCTTCTTTCTCACTGTGAGCCTCTGACTCTGCAGGGCTCTGCTGACCCCTGCTCTGTCTCTTTCCCACTAAGCCCATCCTGTCAGTGTGCACTCACTGTGCATGCACGCACTGAATCCAGCACACCTGGGGCTCCTCACTGCTGAAAAGCCTGCCTGCCTTTCTCCTCGCTGTGGTGTGGCTGGGCTCTGACCTCTCACCCCTGGTTCCATGGCTCATTTCCTCACCTACAATGCCCCCTGCTTGCCAGGGTCCTGGCTCCCCCACAGAACTCTCATTCTGGAGCTGCAGAATCAAGCATTTCACCTTACAGCAATGTAAGTTGTTCTCCAGTGGGTTTGGGGGTCTTCTCGGGAATTCCCAGCTCCCCCAAGACCAGGGCACCCTGCCTTCCTCTTCTGAGCTCTCTTGGCTCACCTGTGGGCACCAGAAGTGGTTTCTCATCTCCGGAGATGCTGGGGTGGGAACAGGCCAAGGAAGACCTCTTTTTCTGCCTCCCAAGGCTGCTGTCCCGGCCACTGGTTTATTCTTCCTAAGCCACACTGCCACTAGTTTTATTAAAGATACTTCTCACGGGCAGCCATGACACTACAGTCAGGACGGGGGCAACCATCAGTAAAAGAACACACTCCCTGCCTCCCTGACTACCTAACCCAGAGAATCCCCACAACACCCAACAGGGGGCTGGCCGGGGGCCTTGAGAGCGAATGGGGCCTTTCACATTTACCACAGCGCTTAACAGCTTCTTACCAAACAACCTCCTCTTTGAGGAAATGAAACAAATGACAGAATTCTTGGTCCGAACATCTACCTCTGAAAACAGGACCCACGGCTCTTTTGAGTGATCCATCGCAGTGTCATCACTAGACTGCCTGCCTGATACATCACATCCAATCTGGTCGATGAATGGGGCCAGGGCCCAAAACCCCACTGAGGTTAAGGAACTCAAATCTAGGTTGACAGTGGGGTGGAAACCCACTTGAGTTTGGCACTGGGCATCACTGCCAAAGGGGCTAATGGGTATCAGTACAGAGGATCCCTGGCACCCAACCAAGAGGAAGTCTCTTTACAGGGAGGGAGGGGTCCCTTTCTTTTTTCTTTTTTTTTCTGTTATTCTAGATTTTTTTTTGAGACGGAGTTTCGCTCATGTTACCCAGGCTGGAGTGCAATGGCGCGATCTCGGCTCACCGCAACCTCCGCCTCCCGGGTTCAGGCAATTCTCCTGCCCCAGCCTCCTGAGTAGCTGGGATTACAGGCACGCGCCACCATGCCCAGCTAATTTTTTGTATTTTTAGTAGAGACGGTGTTTCACCATGTTGACCAGGATGGTCTCGATCTCTTGACCTCGTGATCCACCCGCCTCGGCCTCCCAAAGTGCTGGGATTACAGGCTTGAGCCACCGCGCCCAGCTGGGAGTGGTCCCTTTCAAGCCAGTTTCTTAGGCATTCCATTAGCGGCATTTACTTCTTTTTTTTTTTTTTTTTTTTTTTTTTTTGAGATGGAGTCTTGCTCTGTCGTCCAGGCTGGAGTGCAGTGGTGTCATCTCTGCTCACTGCAACCTGTGCCTCCTGGGTTCAGGCGATTCTCCAGGCTCAGCCTCCCAAGTAGCTGGGATTACAGGCATGAGCCACCACACCTGGCCAACATCTACTTCTTCCTCCAGGAACAAAGAATAAAACATTCTATGTGTGACATAACTTTAAAGAGCAAAACTAAGTTCTGCATTTCTGTGAAACTTGATTCAAAATGTGATTGGATCTGTAAAGTCACCAGAGGTCCGCAGCGTCAAAGTGGACCCCGTCCTCTAGACCCAGCTACTCTGGGCCCCCACCTTTTCTGAAGGGCTGTTCCTATCCTTGCCAAGTGGGAACTTCCCTTGTCCTCTTTGGGTAACTTTACCCCTTGTTTGCAGAGACTTTTTTTTCTTTTCAAATTATGGTAAAATATTTACAACATACAAAGTTGCCTTTTTAGTAATTTTTTTTTTTTTGAGAGGGGGTGCCTGTCACCCAGGCTAGAGTGCAGTGGTGCCTCAACGTCCCCAGTGCAGGTGATCCTTCCACCTCAGCCTCCCGAGTAGCTGGGACTCCAGGCACACACCACCACACCCAGCTAACTTTATTTTTAACCTTTTAGTAGAGATGAGGGATTCACTGGGTTGCCCAGGCTGGCCTTGAACTCCTGGAGTCAAGCAGTCCTCCCGCCTCGGCTTCCTAAAGTGCTGGGATTACAGGTGTGAGCTGCCATGCCCAGTCTTGATAATTTTTAATTGTTCCATTTTAAAGATATTATATTCACACTGTTGAGCAATCATCACCACTGCCTGTTTCCAAAACTTTTTCATCACCCCAAACAGAAACTCTGTACCCATTAAGCAATAACATCCCGTTCCCCCGCCACCAGCCCCCAGAAACCTCCAGTTACTGTCTGAATTTACCGATTCTCGATATTTTGTGTAAGTGGAATCGTACGGTGTTTGTTGTTTGATGTCTGGCTTCTTGCACTTGGTATCACGTTTTCAAAGCTCCAGATTTGGGCTGTGGCTCTGGAGGGGCACAGAGTCACCCCTGGATATTCTCTGGACCTCCCCCACCTCTGCCCTGTCACCTGCCTCCCCTGCAGCCTGTCTCTTGGGCCTCCTTTTGATGGTAGAGGGCACTTCGTCTGGAAGTTGCTCCCGCTTTTCCTTAGCCCAACAGTGGGACGAGGCACCAGGGGCACCTTTTGATTAATGGCCTGGGGCAAAGTGAATCTGGCCTGAAGTCCTAGGAGGAAGAGACCAGATAGCAAATAACTGAAACAATTCCTATAGCAGCTTGGCCAGAGATTTTAATGGTTATCAAACTATGTCTCTGCTTTTTAATTTCTTGTAATCTGTTCCAAAAAGGCAAAGATCAGAAATACAGAGCAATATTTATGCACAAAGATGTCCTCCGCAGTGTTGTTTATAATAGTCCCAATGGGAAACAACCTAAAGAGCCAGTCATTAATGAGTGACTTAAGCAAATTATGGCAAAATATGACACAGCCATAAAAATTCGACTTGCAAAGCAAAATCAGATTCTTAATGTTGGGGAAAATACCTATGAGAAAATGTTAAGAAGAAAAACTTTAAAAGCAGACTGGAATTCTCTGTATGCATTATGAGATCATGTGTAAAAAAGAAAAATCGCAGGGAAAAAAATAAACAGAAGCATATGCCAAGCTGCGTGGTGCAATTATGGCTTTTAAATTTTTTCTTTACATCTTTCTGCACTTTGTAACTTCTCTGAAAAAAGAACATGCATCACTTTGATCGTCAAGACAACAAAGGAATAAACGGGAAGAGAATGTTCCTCTGCATAAGATGAAGGAGGAACCAGAATTTGGGGGATACCGGAGGCCTGGCTCACACCTGGGAGCCATCTGGCACCTGAGGATGCTTTTGGGGGATGCTGCATGGTGGCAGGATCGGGTGGGGTGAGAGTGGCATGTGTTCACCTGGAAGAGAACTGACTTAGACAATGGTTGGAAACACAAATGCCTTCAAGGGTCTGGCAAGTCTCGTAACTGATACTTGTAAATGAGCAAAGCTGTGCAATAGGATAAGGAGTGGTGAGGACTGTGGCAAAATGGGAGCTACACACCCTGCTGAAAAGAAGTGGCTGCAGAAGCGGCAGTGGCTGCTTGCCATCGGGAGTGGGGTTCCCGTGTGGCCAGACCTTACGTTCTTCAAAGACGCCAAAAATTGATACAAATACATGTGGAGGGGCGCGGGGAGGTTGTTGGTCTCTGCCGCTGAGGCTGGAGTGCGGTGGTGCCATCACAGCTCACTGCAGACTGCAGCCTTGACCAGCTGGGCTCAAGCGATCCTCCCACCTCAGCCTCCTAGGACCACAGGCACACACCACCACATCTGGCTGATTTTCTTTTTTATCATTTGTAGAGATGAGATCTCCCTGTGTTACCCACGCCGGTCTTAAACTCCTGGGCTCATGCGATCCTCCTACCTCAGCCTCCCAGAGTCCTGGGATTATAGGCATGAGCCACCGCACCTAGCCTCATTGTTTAACATGTGAAATCTCTAAAACACTGGCACCTAATAAAAAATATATATATTTTCGACATCATGCAGTCCACATCTCCTGGCCAGATGTGGGTGAGCCACAGAGTCTGTGACTTCTGACCTGTCCCTTCTCCTCCCACGTGGCTTCCTCTTCCACGGGCTCTGTTAAATGCGCTATGTGGGCTACAGGCCTGCAGCGCAGACTGAAAGGGCTTTCCTTCTGTTCTTTCTGCCAGAAAATGAGCCTCCATCTCCGCTGGTGTCCGGGATTATTGATTACAACATGCCCCTCACCTCCACCTACCTGAAGCAGATGAAGCTTCGAGTGATGAATTCCCAGGAGCAGGTAAGGTGGCAGTCTCCCTTACCCCATCTGAAGGTGTCCTGACTTGCCTCGCCGTGGTTGATTCTTTCCAAGTCTTGGGGCCACAGCTTGTGTAAACACATGGGAAATCAAAGAGGCCCTTATCTGGTTGTCTGGGCTGTGCAGTCCAGGCAGAGAGGGGGAAGCAAGAATGTGTTCCTTGTGAGAGGGTCTCCTGTGCAGACAGCCCTGTGGGTCTTCAGTGAGAAAAGTTTCCCCTTGGGTGGGCTCCCGGGAGGAGGGGATGTGGGACGGAAGGGCCGCAGCCCCGGACCCTGGAGCTGGTTCTCTCTCAGCTTGCCCTTGATCGCTTGCCTCTTGCCTCCTTCCCCCAGGGAGGCAAGAGAGAGTGGCTGCCTGCTTGTGGCCTCTGTCACTCTTGGGGCCCGGATGGACTAGGAGGATAGGCCTTGGAGGGTGGCCCTGGGGCCTCCTGGCTGTCCAAGCCTCCCCAGCTGGGGTTTGCCAAGGGCCATGAGGCACCATGGAAACAGGCTATGAAAAGAAACTCCCTTTCGCCTGCCTTCCCACACAGTCACCTCCTAACCCTCTGCAAAGCAAGTAGCCTGACTGTCTTTCAAAGAAAGGACTAGGTGAGTTCCCCTCCACCCCCATCCTCCGCTGCCACCTAAAACCAGGGTAATCACTTCTTGCTTAAGCTTGGAGTGTTCTCATCTCTTGTGACATCTGAACCCGTTGTGTCCTTGTGGCCCTGGCAGGGGATTGGATTCTTTCTCCCCCGTTGAAAGGTGGGTCAGAACCCAAGTCTGACTTCCAGCCCTGGGTGCGGCTGTCCCGTGCTGCTGGTCTCCTTGACAACCCCAGCGTGCGTGCTCTGAGGGGGTGGTGGCCCCTTGGCCAGATCCATGGTGATGTAGCAGGACACATGCAGGTAGCATCTCTGCCCGTGATACCCAGTTTGAGGACTTAAGCTAGGTGGCTTGAACCTGCAGAGCTTTGTATCCTTTCAAGAGGCGGGGGCGGCGAGCCCTCCCTTCGCCACTCCATGCCTGGCACCTAGAAGCTGTGTGAAGGAACCTTTGCTCTGAGCGGTAGGACCGTTCGGTAGAACTGTGTCTCCCCTGCCTTCTCATCTGAGCACACATGTTCTGGGATGTTTGCGTCTCCAAGAAACTTCACCTCATCACAAATAATTCCATGGGGAAAACGGGCGTCGATTGGGTTTCTAGCGCACAAAGGCAAAGTAGTTTGGGCTACAGGAGTGTCGGTAATGAGGGTGTTGCTTATAGAGCCCCAGCACCGCTGTGCAGGCTCCATGTCAGGTCTCCTCTGACTGCCGCTGAAGAGCGATCTGTGGCCTTTCTTTCCTGTAAGCATCCTCATTGTCACAGGCACCTGGCTCCGTAAACACTGTTATCACCGTTCTCGTCTGTGCCCATGAAGAATGAAGGACAGAACCACACAGACAGCTGGGAGCACAGCCCCCGGGTTTTCTTTCCTACAGAAGGGCACTAAATCCAGGTCACCACTAGAACCAGTAGCGGTCAGTGTCGTGCAAGTTGGCATCTCTCATTAACGAATCAGATATTTGAGCCGGTTAAAAATCCTTACTGCGCCTTCACTTGCGTCAGTGGAAGAGGGGAGTTAAGACTACAGGCTAGGTGCTTTAATGAGGATTCGGTCATTCCACAGGTACTTACAGAGCGCTGTTCTGTGAGCCAGGCTCTGGGGATGAGCAGAAACAGCAGTACCCCTAGATCTTCTTCTTATGTGTTTTTTGTTGTTGTTGTTGGTGGTGGTGTTCTTGTTTTTGTTTTTTTGAGGCAGAGTCTCACTCTGCCACCCAGGCTGGAGTGCAGTGGCATGATCTTGGCTCACTGTGACCTCTGCCCCCCGGTTCAAGCGATTCTCCCACCTTAGCCTCCCATGTAGCTGGGATTATAGGCACTTGCCACCATGCCCAGCTAATTTTTTATATTTTTCATAGAGACGGGGTTTCTCCATGTTGGCCCAGCTGGTCTTGAACTCCTGGGCTCAAGCAATCCGCCCGCCTCTGCCTCCCAAAGTGCTGAGATAGTTTCCGACTGGCATCCCCGTGTGTGTTTTCTTCTGGTCTAGGGGAGACAGACAGCAGCGGCAGGATCGCACACAAATGCCCAGCTCACAGTAGGCAGCAATTAACAATGGAGGAAGTGATCGATGGGGCATCACCATGGGCAGAAGGACATGTGGCACTGCGGGTACTTAGGGTGGGCTAGAGGGTGGACTGAGGCAGGGGTCTGGGAAGCTGTGCCTCAGAAAGGGAGGCGTCAGCTGAGAGTGGGATCTGAAGGGAAGAGAAGCTATTCCAGGCTGAGGGAATAGCTTCTGCAAAGGCCTTGTGGCTTAAGGGAGGACCAAGCCTGCACAAGATTCGAGGGGCTGGTGTGGCTGCAGCAGAGAATGTGATCAGTTCTGTAGCCGAGGCAAAAGGGGGAAAGCACAGTTATGGGAGCATAAGCACCTGATGAGTTCTGGGGATGAACTGAAGTTCATGACATGAGATGGATAAATTACCCTGGCGAGGCTCTGGCAGCTCCCAGAGGAAGGGGGGACTGTGGAGGGCATTTGTCCCCAGGGTGCTCTGGGAGTCCAGCTGGGACAGGGCCAAGATCGAGGTGGCCTCTGCTTCCAGTGGGGCTGGATGTGACTTCCTCTGCTTCATTAGTAGTTTCCAGGTGGGGGCCTCTGAATGCTTCTCCTGGGTGCAGCAGGAGATGGAAATTCAGGTCTGCCTTTTACCACCTGGCTGGTGAAGCAGCCTCCCACCTCATGCCTAGAGCCCTTCATCTGTCAGTCTCCAGCACGCTGTGCAAAGCAATGAGCTCTCAAGGCCTCAGTTCTTAGGCAGCGCCGTTATCCCTGTTTTATGGCTGGGCACGTGGTGTAATATGAAATCACATTGCTCACCAGATTATTTATCTGCAGCAGCAAGGAAGGGCCAAGGACCCAGCAGTCTTGGATTCTTCAGTTTGAGTTAGAACTAAAAATACACATGCTTGAATTACTAGTTTATTTCCTGTATAGCAAAGGCAGGCCAGGGTGGGTGAATGACTCCCCACCATCCAAACGCAGCCACGGGACAGGTTCGGCTGCTGTCAAATCCAGCCGTCCCAAGACAAGGCTTTGAGAGTGGTTACTTTTCATCACTCTGACCACAAAATCCCAGCAGAGGACATCTGTAGTGTTTGCAACTCTCTAATGCAGGCTACATGGAAAATAACCCCAATACTAAAGTAACCAGGAACCAGGATAAATATTTTATTTATTTTTTATTTTTTATTTTTATTTTTGAGAGAGAGTCTTGCTCTGTCGCCCAGGCGGGAGTGCAGTGGTGCGGTCTCGGCTCACCGCAACCTCCGCCTCCCAGATTCGAGTGATTCTCCTGCCTCAGCCTCCTGAGTAGCTGGGATTACAGGTGCCCACCACCACACCCAGCTAATTTTTGTATTTTTTGTAGAGATGGGGTTTCACCATGTTGGCCAGACTGGTCTCAAACTCCTGACCTGGTGATCAGCCCACCTTGGCCTCCCAAAGTGCTGGGATTACAGGGGTGAGCCACCGCACCCAGCCAGGATAAATATTTTATTAATGCTGAACAAAGCTCTATGTCTAAAAACTTTGGGTAAGAAAAAATCTCAATAATCCATTTATTTCCAGCATCACATATCCAAGAGACAATTGGTAAGGCAAGGAGAACATTTCCCCTCACTTTGCTTCATCAACGTGCCCGTGGTGGGATTTTCTTGAGGGCCAAACAGAATCATGTTGCTTGTAGGCCAGTTGTATCAGATTAATATGCTAGAAAATGAGTCCTTCTCAGCAGAGGGTATTAGATAATATGAAAACTCAACACAAGAGTCACACAAAGAAGAACGATTCTTGCTTGAACCCAGGAGGCGGAGGGTGCAGTGAGCCGAGATTGTGCCACTGCACTCCAGCCTGGTTACAGAGCAAGACTCCATCTCAAAAAAACAAAAAAAGAAGAAGAAAAAAATTATTCTTGAAGTCTGGTTCAGTGCAGCCAAGAATTATAGTGTCCTCAACGTACAAGGCACCACTCTGGGGGTTAGACTCTACCCTCTCAGGACCTCCAGCCTGAGACACAGACCCCAGGACCTGTCATCAAAGTGGCCACACTGAGCTGAAAATAGTGGAGTGTGGCCTGATCAAAGAGTTTTTTTATTCAGGAATACTCTTATAAAGATATAAAATGGACATTACATTTATTTGTACAGAGGAAGGAGCATCTTCTTGGAAGAGGCAGGAAGGAAGATTTCATGAAATGTAGACCATCTCAGACAATGGCCGTTAATATTCTCTGATAAAGTGAGATCCCAGGAACAGGTGCAGGCCATGCTCTTAGGGCCAGATCCAGCCAGCAGGTGCCGTCCTGAGCTGCCGATCCTTCAGGTTCACTCTCAAGGGTGTGAGCAAGATGCCGTGAGGCACGCTGGGCTCTCTTCTTCACACAGCCTCTGGTTTCATTTTCTGTCTTATTTGGGTTTCTTTTATCATTTTAATTATTATTTTATTAATTATTTATTTAGAGACGAGTCTCGCTCTGTCACAAGGCTGGAGTGCAGTGGCACAATCTCGGCTCAGTGAAACCTCCGCCTCCCGGGTTCAAGCAATTCTCCTGCCTTGTCTCCAGAGTAGCTGGGATTACAGGCTCCCATCACCATGCCTGGCTAATTTTTTAAAATATTTTTAGTAGAGATGGGGTTTCACCATGTTGGCCAGGCTGGTCTCAAACTCCTGGCCTCAAGTGATTTGCCCACCTCAGCCTTCCAAAGTGTTGGGATTATAGGCGTGAGCTACTGCACCCAGCCTCTTTTTTTTTTTTTTTTTTTTTTTTGATTACACAAGTAGCACAGAGACTCAGCAGAAAAATCAATCACCAAAAAGCAAAAGCATGGCAATGGAATATTTTGGTGGCTACCCTTCCAGACTCTTGAAGAAGGAGGGGAGTAACCTGCTTT